TCTTCTTTGTGAGCCGGGTCAAAGGAGCGACTATGATAGAAAATCATTCCACAAACCTGCAGTAATAACCTGCCAATCCTAGAAAGTTATGAATCTCCTTGACCGAGGTCAATCCCTCTCAACCAAGAACTGCCTTAACTTTTTCAGGGTTCATTGACACTCCATCCCTTGATATGATGTGCTCTAGAAATGTAGTCTGCTCGAGGCATAACCTACACTTACTCAACTTTGCATATAACTTCTTTTCTCTGAGAACCTGTAAAACTGAATCAGGTGGTGAGCGTGTTCCTCTCTGCTTTTTAAATAAACAATGATATCATCGATAAATACAATGATGAACTGATCCAGGAATTGTCTGAAAATCCTGTTCATCAAGTCCATAAAAATGGTTGGTGTACTAGTTAGTCCAAATGGCATGACCAGGAACTCATAGTGTCCGTGCCTGGTTCTGAAGGCTGTCTTGAAAATGTCATCTGCCCTTATATTTATCTGATGGTAACCTGAACGCAAGCCTATTTTAGAGAAGACCTGAGCACCCTACAACTGATCAAAAAGGTCATCGATCTTGGAGATGGGGTACTTATTCTTGATCGTGACCCTTTCAATCCCCTACATTCAATACATAATCTTAACGTCCTATCATCTTTCCTTGCGAATGTGACTCCAGCACCTAAAAAGACACACTATGTCAGATGAATATCTTGCAAGTCATTGATGTATTTTCTCAACTCTTCTATCTCAATACGACTAATGCAGTAAGCGACAACCAAGATAGGCTGGGTATCTGACTGAAGATCTATAGTGAACTCAACTTCTTTGTCCACTAGCAGTTCGGGTAGTTCATCAAGAAAATACATCTGGGAAGTCTCGAACTACTAGGATCTCTTGAATGCAAACTTCTTTCGTAGGTTTGCCTATGTAGGGAAAACAACCGAGTTAAAGTGCTATGTAATGAGGAAATTGTTATAAAAGAATAATATTCATAACTTTTATTAGCTTGTAAATGACTCTTTGTTAGGAGGCTTAAATATAAATTTCTTGTGGAAACAATCCACGATGGCTTGATACAGTGCTAACCAATTCATTCCTAGAAAATACATCAAGGCCCCCTTGTGTCAATCTCTATCAGGTCCATCATGGGTGAAATCGAGTCCCATGGAAGAGGGACCCAGATGTTGTTGTGGCATTGTCGGATGATAGGGTGGAGGAGTAGGGTTGCCCCAGGGTGGCTTTGGATCATCTCGCTATTAGGGTGGCTTGAATTATGGCAGTAGAGGAGGGTAAGACAGCTCCCCCATTTTCTCTCAAACCTGCTGGATAGAAATGAGTCTCTCCAACATATCAAAGAGTCAATCAACATCCTCTTAAAGTGAACCATCTCGAGCTATTCCGTTTAGTGGGGTCTTTCTCTCCTCATATCCTTGTACCTGTATTGCACAAGGAAGGTTTGGACGATTGTGTGTATTTGGCATTTTTAAGTCTTGTGTAAGAAATGGTTACGAGGAACTTGGCTCTGATACCAACTGTAAAGACCCAAAACTTAAAAAGAAATAATTTTACAAATTAAATGCGGAAGTGATTAATAGAGTCATGGTTTACATTCTTTACACAATAATTTAAAATGCCCAATAAGACTACGGGAAAGTCCCTTCTAAAAGACAAATGATAATTAAAAAAAAGCGAATAAATAAATATCCTAGAACGATCTTCATTAGCACTTAGAGGGAGTCCAAGTAGTGAATTACTTACAACCCTCTTATTGATCAGGATCTGGATCCTGGTTCTCTTAATCTGAAATAGTTAATGAAAAGATGAGCTACAGTAGCCTAGTAGAATATCACACTAATCACAAATACAGAAAACTAAAGATTGGTAAAAATCAGAAAAATAACTAATGAAGCTCTTAATTTAATGTAAATTCATTTAATATAAAGAAAGTCATTTATTCCGTATTCACATAACAAGTTTTTTCAAAAATAACCTATTGAGACCCATATTCATACACTTTTTATTTTAACATATAAAATAACAAGAGATGATCACTTTTTATTTTTACCTGCTTACTGATATCCCTAAGGGTCTATAGCAATGTCCATTTCTCGTGAACCCAATATCCAATTAAAAAATTAAACCAATCGTCCCCATACCCCTTCTGATAATTGGCGCCAGATATTTTACCACCTTGATACCCTATCTGACTTAGGTAACGTTCACGGTATGAGAGTGAACCATATCTACCAAACCTTACTGGTAAGGGACTTCCCAGCCCCGTCTGACTTAGGTAACGTTCACGGTAGGGTTCTCTATGTACCGGACCCGTCCACCCTTTTCCAGGTACCTAGTAAGTCTTTCACATACAGATTTTCATCAACATCACAATCAACCACGCAGTATTAATATCTCATTTTATATTCACAAATCAAATAAATGGCATTTAAGCAAGCGATTAAACTTATCACAACCAATAACCAAGTAATCAAATAATCAGATAAATTATGCAGAAAGGAACCAATTAACCTAGATAATCGAGAAGACTATAAAAACTATCAATGTAAGCATACACAATGTAATGGTTAATAATTTAGGTAGTACATAAAAATAAACTTTGAATTAGGATAAAATGTGCACTAATCGGTCCCAGCTCTAGTAGTAACCTATAATTATATTTAGTATTTTCTATTTTTTTATGAGAACACGAGATTATGCAATGTTAAGCCTCAATTTACCGTAACAGAGAATAGAATGAGAGATCCTTACCCAGATTGGTGTTTCGAGACGTCGCGCTGCCTACTATGCCTCTTAACAGGTACCGAACTTCCTAAATTTTTTTTGCAAAATCCAAAACACTCGTCACATACATAAAAATACTCTAAAAATCTAAAATATGTATTTAAAACTCATCACAGCCAATTTTGAGGTTCCAGCACTAGCTCTGCCGCCCACAATAGCGGTTCGCCTCTGCCTAATCAGTTTTGACCGGATTTTGGCCGATTTTTGTCGTATCCCTACAGAAAAACATGTTAGAGGCCTTGGTTGGCCGAAAAATCACAAAAAACTGAACCTACCGGCGGGGGGGACCTCCGAGTGCGGTAACTCCACCGGTTCCCCTTCGTGGCTGAGATTCTTTCTTCAACTAACCTGCACAGAAAAGGATGATGAATAAAATGATCGAAAAATTACATAAAACAAAAATTGGGAATGGGTTCATCGGAGGGGTTTTGATCGCAGTGGCTTCGTCGGGCTTTATCCAAGATTTTTTACTCATCCACCATCCTTTTTGCTCTGATTTGACTACAAAGGTGCTCAGAATTGAATTCTGAGCGAGTAGGAGGAATTTTTATCTTTTTTGGCGGTTGGCGGTCGGCGATTTGGGCTCTCGTGTGATGCAAGGTATTTATATCCATACTGCGTTGATCTGGGTCGTCCATCGCGATCGATCTCGTCCATCCAATCGTGCATAAGGAAGAAATGAATCTAGACCGTCCATTGCAATTTGATCTCGATCGTCCGATCGTGCTTAATGGAGAAATAAATTCGAGTCGCATGCGCGCGTGATCGATCCTAGACCGTCTGATCGCGGGGCGCGTGGATAGCCTGCGTAGCACCGACGTCAGCGTACCTTACTACGCGGCGTGTTCCGATTCGTCAGAGCTGCTGACTGGGTGGTCCTACGTGACACAATTTTTCTTATTTTCACTTTAACCCTCTATCTTTAATTTTTCTTTCAAAAATACCATCGAACTCAAATTTTCACCACTTTTTTTCAAAATTATTTTCGATTACATCTTTAACCTATTTTTTTTCAATAAATTCAATAAAAATTAAATTAATTTTTAAATAATTTTATAATTATTTTTAAATGCTAAAATTAATTCCAGGCCAAATTCCAAACTCGTGTATTATATATACAATGTTTATATAAGCAACAACGTATTTGAGTATAAGTTTCTTGATAAAAATAAAAAATACATAAATTAAAATATTATTAATCAAAATAATTTAATTTAGTAATCATTAAATATGTAATAGTTAAAAAATTAATATGCAATGTGTATACTAATTAATTTAATTATATATTAATTAAATATATATATAAATATGTAATATATTAATTGACTTAATATAGATAAATAATTAATTCAATTATATGTCATAAATATAATTTATACTTATCAAATTGTATTAATTTTTGTGATCATTTAGTCATACTGATTAAATATATAATTGAAATGTGTAATTCAATAAATTTTAAAAATAATTAATATTTTTTAATGATGCTATTTGATGTGGTAATAGTTATACTAAAATGTATATGTATGCAATAAGATTGCTATATACTTGATGATAAAAATAATTGTTTTTCTTTAAAAAAAATTTATCTAGCTAGTATGTCTCTCTTTTAATAAATATAGTTTCATTATATTATATGGTTTTGATAAATAAATTATTATAAGAATTTGGGAAAGTTCTAACTAAGTTTATATATTTTCTTTATATATAAGTCTTCTAAACTATGAATTTGTTTCAATATTAGTTCTATTTAAAATTAAATTAGTAGTAAGCTTTAAATCCCTTCAAATTTAATTATTACAAATAATTAAATTGAAAAACAATGTTGCACGTATATAATTCAATCCAAAAGACAGAGGATTACTTTATTATAAATCAATACATCATTTCATTAAACAAAACTTTTCATTAATTACTTATAGTCTTTCTATTTTTACAGTGAAAGTCAATAATATAAGAGAGAAGTAAAAAGAAAAAAAAAGAAATTATTAATACGCATTTTTTCAAATTACTCAAAATTTTTAATAATTTTAATTATTTAATTTTTTTTAAATGGGAGGTTGTAATAAAAATGAAATTTGTAATTACCAAAATAAATAAATAACTGGCCCATTTATTGTTAAGTGAAGCGAGCTGAAATGGCCTAAAATTACAGCCTATAAACATGGTTCCCGCCATCGCTCAGACTTCCTCTGACTCTAACAATATGACCTTCAACCCTCTTCTTCTTCTTCTTCTTCTCTTCTCCATTCTAATGGTGGTTATAGTATCTCCACAACCTACATCCTTCCCTATCCCTCAACAACTCTACGGTTTATCATCAACCTCTCTGACCCTACCACCTTCTTCTTTTTCCTCTGTACTCTCACTGTCTCAATCCTTGACAGCCGACCCTCCGCACCACTCTCATCCTCTCGTCCCGGCTTTTTTTGTCATCGGAGACTCCTCTGTTGATTGCGGTACCAATAATTTTCTTGGAACTTTTGCTCGAGCTGATCATCTTCCCTACGGCAGAGACTTCGATACCCATCAACCCACCGGCCGCTTTTGTAATGGAAGAATCCCAGTTGATTATCTTGGTAACTACTTGTTTTTTTTTTCTTTTCCTTAGAAAATTAGGGGAAGAATAGAAAATTGGAAAGTGGATATGTCGTTCTTGATTTTTTAACTCTTTTCTTGGATGCTGAGAATGTGGGTTGGATGAAGACTTTATCTTTTTCTTGGTTCTATTCGTCTTTTCTTCTTGGTTCCCTTCTGTTTGGTTGCTGAGAAAATGGAACGGAAAAAAAGGCAAATGAAATTGATTGTCGCATCTCCATCTTGTTCTGTTCCGCTGGTTTTCAGAAAAAGAAAAAGGAGAAAATTGGAGAGGAACGTACTGGTTTCTCTCATGTATTATCTAGCATTTAGGCTTGTTAGACTAGCTGCATAATTCAATCACTCATCTGATTTTGACACAGCTGTGCGTCTTGGGCTTCCATTTGTACCAAGTTATCTTGGACACATTGGAGCTGTTGAAGATATGATTCAAGGAGTCAACTATGCATCGGCTGCTGCTGGAATTATTTTCTCAAGCGGGTCAGAATTGGTAAACGCTTTCACTATTTTCTATCTGTGCATGAATATTCATCCACCCGGTTAATGCATAATCCCTGTTCATCATTGAAGTAACTTAAAATTGAAGTAATATATGTAGATGTCTCAAGTAGGGAAAAATATATTGATCAGCTCTTACTCTGGAAGTAATCTGCTGCAGGGTCAACACATCTCCTTAACTAACCAGATTCAGCAGTTCACAGATACCTACCAGCAGTTTGTACTAACAATGGGTCAGGATGTTGCAACTGATCTCATCTCAAAATCTGTGCTTTATCTTTCGATTGGTGTAAACGACTACATACATTACTATCTGCGTAATGTATCCAATGTGCAAAACCGGTACCTACCATGGGGTTTTAGCAAATTCCTAGCATCAGGCATGAGAGAGGCAATTAAGGTCACTCCTGTCTGTTCATTCTACTTGTTTGTTGATTGCTTGAGAAATTTCTTTAACTTTTGTAATTGTTGATGCCACAGAGCTTGTACAACACAGATGTAAGGAATGTGATTGTAATGGGAGTGGCTCCTATTGGTTGTGCTCCTTACTACCTGTGGAAGTATCAAAGTAAGAACGGAGAGTGTGCTGAGGAAATAAACGACATGATTATGGAGTTCAACTTTCTAATGAGATACACTGTGGAGGAGGTTCACGATGAGCTTCCTGACGCAAACATCATCTTCTGTGATGTTTTTGAAGGTTCTATGGATATTATTGAGAATCATCAACTTTACGGTAACTTTTCTCTTGTAAAATTTTTGGTTAGAGAGATCCATGGAGTAAAGGATGGGCTTACATTATATCCTCTTTGATCAGGTTTCAATGTCACTACAGAAGCTTGTTGTGGATTGGGCAAGTATAAAGGTTGGATCATGTGCTTAACACCAGAAATGGCTTGCAGGAATGCAGCTAATCATATCTGGTGGGATCAATTTCATCCAACTGATGCAGTGAATGCTATACTGGCAGACAATGTGTGGAATGACGGCCACACGAAAATGTGTTATCCCATGAATTTGGAACAGATGGTTGCTGCTTCTAGGTCTAATGGTTGAACATGTTTTCCCATTCGTTACGACTAGATGCTCTGCACTTTTTCTCCTTACCTATATTTTCATATATAAACATGTTTTCTTTGGTGCTTTACTTTGTTCTGGCTAATAAAACCCTCATCCTGAAAAAAACAGCAATATATTTACAGGCATATACAATAAATCAAGAGTAACTAGCGTCTAAAACAGAAATATTAATCTTAAGTTTGTTATGGTTAATCAAGAGTAATGAGCATCCTTCTGTTGTGGGATGGCAGATGGAAGTAACCATGATCTGTTCTTCACTTTTAATTGGTGATAGAGAGAACCTGATAAACTTCATAGCCAAATTATCAGCAGAAAATTTGAAAGAACGGAAAACATAATTGTAGCTGTATAATTGAAATAACCGCAAGAGCACTTGTCTCTTTTACATTTTCTTTATCTTCATGCCAAAAACAAACCTTTAGCCAACTTTCAAACAGTTGAACTATCAATAAAATCTAGTAATGTAAACAATCAATTAGCACCCTTCATAGTCCCGATGTGTATGGTGTAAAAGAAGCCAGAAAAAGTGCAGCTGCTGAACATTATTTTACATAGTGTCCAAAACATTTTACTGGGACAGCTTTACATGCAACTATTAATGCACAAGGAAGATTTCTGCGATAACCAGGTGAAAGTTACAGTCATTTATAGTCTCGAACTTTGGTGTCCATCACAAAGCTGGGAAATGCTAGAGTCAGTTCCCTGAAAAGTAAACATCAAAGAGGAATTCAAGATTGTGACTCTAATTTTGGAACTTGTATGTCATATGAGCAGAAGATAAGAAAGTTTAAAGTTCTCTAATGGTCTAGCAATGAACACTCAAATGAAATTTTAGCTGAAACTGTAAAGAGTTTTAGGACACACTTCAGATGCGGAAGAGTCATGTTCTTTAAGAGAGATGGATTCCGTTCAACATATTCTTTCCATTCTCTCGGATTAATCTTTCCATCTCCGTCCAAATCTGCCTCCATCATTGTCTGTAAAAAATAGAAAACAAATGAAATTGAGAAATAAGAATGATAGAAATACAGCAGTATAAGAATCCAGAATAGTAGACACCTTGTCCACAATTGAGTCTGCTGCATCATCAGAAAGTCCAAGGTCTGATTCTCTCGTAAGAGCCAATACCATCTCCTTCAACTTCAAGATCGATAATGATTCCCAAAATGGAATACGAAAGGTTGGATTATGCATATTGGATTTATGATGGAACATTAGCATAATAAATAGAATTTCAAGAGTAATAAAATTCGGAAACAGGATATGGAACTGGCTACTAGTTCAGTCCCTAGAGGATGGATCTATCACAAACAACTCCCTTAATTCAGTAGGTAATCTTCACTTCATATTGTTAGTGATATGCTACCTACGGGTTGTTATCCAATAAAATAAACAGCAAGAAAAAGAGAAAATTTGCAAGAGTTGTCACCTGTTCACGGTCAATGTAGCCGGTATTCCATAGATCATACAACCTAAATGCAACTGAAAAAGAACATTTTCCAGATTAGTGCCTGTATTTGAGAGAGTTGGAATCCAGTTTATACTCAAATTTTCAGTACAAAATTGTGGAGAAAAAAGGAAAATTTCTGATTTGTTCTATAACAACATGCTGTATCATACATTCACTTTTCTCTGCTTGAGGAGCATTTGGGTGGAAGACACTTAATGACCGAACAAATTCCCCAAATTCGATAACGCCATTACGTTTAATATCAAACAGATCAAATACCTGCAATTACTAGGGATGAAATATTGGAAATTTATGATATTCTCCAAATTTATGTTACACTACACCTGAGAAATTATAAAAATATGTAAAGTGGTAAGTCCAACTCAAGTTAGTAACATGAATTCCTTAAGGGACAACTGAAAAAAAAGAAGTGTTGATATCCATACTCTGTCGGCAAATAGATTTTGCTTGCTTTGGTTGTTGAAAAGTGCAAGTTGGAATTCCTCCTGCCGAAAATAAGGCAAGAAGTTAGCAGTAAAGAGCTAATCCCAGACATCAATATTCTGCCAAACCAAAGAAATCGCTTTTAGAAAGCCGGTTAAATAGCCATAAGTAGGTCATTAGACATCTCAGATAATAAACAGATTTCTGTACTCAACCCTGTGGTGGAGATACCTTATGGATAAGACCATCGTCAACTAGGGAACTGCTTAGCTTCTTGAACAGATTATATAAAGCTTCTACTTCATTCACGGTAACTGCCAAAAAATAAAGGTTCTAGTTCATGGAATCCAAAGGCCAAATAAAGAAAGAGGGATGGGAAGTTACAAAAAGAAAAAAAAAAAACGAGGTCAGCATTGGAATTTCTATGGAAATAGTAATCTAAGATGAAAGAATAATAAAGTGGATATAGTGATGCAAGACAATCCAAACAGATGTTCATGAGGATATAGTGGATGATGACAAAAGTTATATAGATATTTTCTTATATTTTCTTATCTGTCTGATGCTGGAATCCACACAGCTTGAATCAAGTGTTGGAAAACTTTTTTAACATCTTATTTATTTCAAAAGTAAATCAGTAAAATAAGCACATTATAATACATTTCTTTGCTATTCTTGCTGCATAGTAGCTACTACTTTCCAACAGAGTGCAAGAAGAATGAGAAACGGTAGTTTTGATCTTACATGGTGTTTCAGAAGCAAGTATAATTGGATCCTCAAGTCCTGCTCTTTTCCCATACTTCTTCATGCAAAAGCAACTCTTGAAAGCAGACATAATTGCTTCCACATCCAAATATGAAAGGAAAAACAAGTATGAAAACACTATCATTATATATTATCAAGTATGTTACAGATTAAAGGTATATACTCCATTTGTCTTGCTTGATAAGTTCACATTAGATCTAACTTTTAGAAGAAAGAATCAAGTTCTCCTTCTCAATAAAATAAGCTAACGGTTATATCTATAATACCCAGTGCCTAAACACTATTAGTCCAATAACTCTCTACATCTAAACAACCGATCTTCTAAAGTTTAAGTTTAAGTTTAAGTTGTTGGTAGTATGTGATTTGAATCTTGATATGAAGCTAAACAATCATGTACCCTTCTGAAATTGGAGTATCACAACAATAAAACACAATTTTTCCCATTTATTTTAGCTTTAACGTTTTAAGTAAAAGAGTCAAGGAGGCAGAGGATGCGATGCTATCCAACCCATCATATATACAAGAAATTTATGGAAATATAGAAAATAGGAAACAAAATGGATCCGGGAATTTACAGGGGAAATAATGCTTTTCAAGGAAAGTCAACTCTCAACAGAACAGGAGAAGTAGGACCTAAATCCAAAGAAGAAAGTAAGACGTTAATCATCAAAAGTACTCCATTTATTGGAAAATACAAACGTGATTCAACGTTTTCAAGGTTTCCTAATCTGACCACGTCACCTACATGAGAAAACATTACACATACATTTATGAAATCAAGATACGAAAGGTTTTTGATTGGAGCTGACCTGGGTTTATTACCCTTTCTTCTTCTTCTTCTTCTTCTTCTTCTTCTTCTTCTTCTGCTTCTGCTTCTGTATCTGTATCCGTAAGCTGTCTGTATTTGAATTAACTATAATATCGTTTATGGCTGTGTGGTAACTGACTACTTGAGGCAAAATGTACTTCAAAGGTGAGAAGTGAGCTTTCAAGATTGTTACTTTTTTCGTGTGGGATTTTATTAGATTGGTGTGTGATGATTGGACATGCAAAATCACGCCTATGACCCTGCGATATGACGCATCTTCATTTTTCTGACAACATAAAATATGGAATTCTGTACTTCCTTAGACTTTGCCAAGAAAAAGTCAACCCTTCTGACTATATGCATTTTTTTTCCCTCTTTTTTATGCTTTTATTAGGAATTTTCAGTTGAAAAAAAAAGTACTTTGTCTAATGGTTATTATATATATATATATTTTTATGTATAAAATTACAAGCTCAAATTATATTATATTTTATTATGTACTTATTTGAAAGATTATTTATACTTTATTGTATTGTGATTGATGTAAATACATAATGCATAAATTCAATTTAAATTTATTATATGTTAACAATAATTGAATTATTTTTAAAAAATTTACTTCAGAATAAAATAATACATTTAAGAGTTTATTAATTCTGATAAATTTAGAATGAAATATCCTAATTCTATATAAGATTTCAGTTTTTATTATTTTCAATTAAACTTTTATCATATCCCAATTACAATAAATATGAACTTTACACATTCATTTATTTCAAACATAAAGTAAGACATAAATTGCTCTCCTAGGACATGTAACCTGTAATGGCCCCGGAAATTAAAAGAATATATATATATTTATTTTAAGTGCGGAAGCGAAATAAAACAGATTGTGATTAAGATCCCTTACACAATAACCAAAACGAATTAAAGTATGAAAGAATAAACTAACTTAAATGAAATACCATGAAAGAATACTGTAAGGAAAACTAAATAATTCTTTTGCTTCTACTCGCTGTCTTCCTACAGAACGGGCTCGGGAACCAAATCCTCCTGATCTAAAATGGTTAAGTAATGAATGAGCTGTATTAGCCCAGTAAAGACACCACACTATCTCACTGTCACATAAATAAAAGTTGGTAGAAAACGAAAACGACCAATGGAACATAATTTATACAAACTCATAACTCATCCGGTATGGGGGCCAAAACCATAAACCTCAATACCCCGTCCGGTATGAGGGTGAAACGGGCCGTCCCCATACCCCGTCCGATATGGGCGCCAAAACACAAAAAGTCTCCATACCCCGTCTGATATGAGAGACCACGCTCCCGGTAGGGTTCCCTATGGACCCGGTCCGTCCACCATCTCCTATGATATCTAGTGAGGCTGTCGACATTATCTATTATCAATTCACATACCTTTTTACCATTTTTCTTAATCTCAATTATCCAATCAAACACAAATACGTAAACTAGTAATGGACACCAAACAAGGCAACACAACATCGGGTTCCCAATAATTCAAAGCATAATAAATGAGACTGTGATTCATGCATATAAAACCATAGAATAAACACATTAGGCATCATACTGCATTCAAAACTGTAAAATAAAACAAATAACACTTGACCGAAAATATATCAGATTCGGGCTCCATTAGCAACCTTAATCAATTATACATATCTATTAATTCATAAAATACTGTTTTATCATTTATTAGGCTTCAATGTCGTGATAAGAAATAGGGTGAGAGATCCTTACTTGTTTCGGAGTCTTAAATCGAGTTCTCACTGTGCCTACGGGCAGTCCCTAGATTCCCTGAATTTTCTCCAGAAACTGAAACACACTTCCGATACCTGTACGTGTCCCCAAAAAACCGCAAATTAGACCCAGGGCCCTTTCGGCCAATATCAAAATTCCGGCACGGCAGCTCCGCCGTGCTCCAGCGACGGTGCCGCCACCCGCGGCAACAATCTGCCTCGGGTTGGCCGTTTCCAGCCGTTTTCGGCCAAATTCGGCCAAACTTGCATTGGTTCCTGTGATAAAACACCTCTAGGGCCCTCGGTGGGCCAAAAAATTCCATAAAATCGAGACTTACCGGCGGCGAAGCTCTCGGGTGCAGCAGCTCCTCCGATGCGAGTTGCGATTCGGTGTTTTGCTCCGATCAACCTGTAGAGAAAAGGACGGTGGTCAAAGTGGTATAAAAATTACATCGAACGGAAAACGAGAAGGGCCTCATCAGAGGCAAAAATCGAGAAAACTCGCGGCGGTGCCGCTGGACTTTGGCGGTGTTTTCTGGCCAATCGGCTGGTGGTTTGGCTCCGATTTGGCCATAGAGATGTTCGGCACCGAAAAACGAGCCAATGAGAGAAATTTTACCTCGTTTGGCGGCCGGAAAGTCCTCCGGTGCGGCAGCGGGTGGCGGAGGCCGGTTCCTCCAGTGGCTAGGTCGTCTTCTCCGACGAGGGTTCTGGCGGCTAGGGTTTGGGGTTGGGTGTGGATGCGATTATTTATAACCCTCCCCTTTTAATCTGAACCATCCATCATGATTTAATATGGGCCGTCCGATCGCGATTAAATTAAAAATATATCTGGGCCGTCCATGTGTGATCAAATATGGGCCGTCCGCACGCGTGAGATCTGGGTCGTCCGCACGCGTCTTTGATCTGGCCGTCCGTGCGTGCGGGAACGAATCTAAGCCGTCAATCGCGCGTACACGGATTGCCAACGTGTCTCCGTCCCGCGTGGCTTCCCACGTCAGCGTCCCTGCACGCGGCATGTCCTGATTGGCTGGGGCTGCTGACTGGGCTGCTGCCGTGGTACTATTTTTTTAAATTGCGGTTTGACCCTTGGTTTTCGATTTTCTTTTCAAAACACCCCCATAAATCTAAATTTTCACCCATTTTTCCCAAAATCAATTTCAATTAAATCCCAAAAATAATTTTACCATATTTTATTATTATTATTATTTTTATTTCTATTTATTTAAATTAAATTAAATTAAAATCTTATAAATTAAATATTAAAATAGAATAAAATTAAACAAAAATTCCAATAAAATTAAAATAAATTAAAAAAAATAAAATACAAATTTTTTGGTGTTACAACTTTCCCCCCCTTAAAGAAATTTGGTCTCCCAAATTTGCCTCTTACTCTTAGTTGAACAAATGAGGATACTGGGCTCTAAAATCTGATTCTACCTCCCAAGTAGCCTCCCTTGACGAGTGGTTCTGCCACACTACCTTTACAAATGATATTTTCTGGTTGCAGAGTATTCTGCTCTTTCGATCCGTGATACCGACTGGGACTTCCTCATAAGATAAGTTCTCTTGGAGTGAGAGCGGTTCATGAGCCAAGACATGAGAGGAGTCCGGGTTATACTTACGTAGCATGGATACATGAAACATATTGTGGACCTTGGAGAGCTCTGGAGGTAGTGCTAGTCTGTAGGCGGCAGTACCAATCCTGTCTAAGACTTCATATGGTCCAATAAATCAGGGGTTCAGTTTTCCTTTCCTACCGAACCTACTAATTCTTTTGAAAGGAGTGACCTTAAGGAACACCTAGTCGCCTTACTCAAACGCTAAATCTCTCATCCGGGTGTCCGCATAACTCTTCTGTCTGCTCTGAACCGTCTGAATGTTCTTTCTGATTTTAACTATTTTAGACGTGGTCTCCTCCACCAACTCCGGGCTTAGCAATTTTCTGTCGCCCACTTCTTCCCAACAAATCAGCGATCTGCATAGGCGCTCATATAACGCCTCATACGGAGCCATGCCAATGCTCACTTGGTAGCTGTTGTTGTAGGCAAATTCTATCAGGGGTAGATGGTCGTCCCAATGGCCCCCAAAGTCAAGGACACAAGCTCGGAGCATATTCTCAAGTGTACGGATTATCCTTTCTGACTGTCCATCAGTCTGAGGATGGAAGGCAGTACTGAGAGACAGCTTTGTTCTCATGGCCTGCTGAAAGCTACTCCAAAATCGAGAAGTGAACTTGGGGTCCCTATCGGATACCACTGTCACTGGAACTCCATGCAATCTGACTATTTCCCGGATATACATTCTTACCAACTTGTTCAAGGGATCGGTTATCCGGATGGCTAGAAAGTGGGAAGACTTGGTAAGCCAGTCAATAATTACCCAGATGATGTCATGTCTTGAACGTGCCTTAGGTAATCCTGTTACGAAGTCCATGGCGATATGTTCCCACTTCTACTCCGGAATCGGTAAGGGCTGAAGTAACCCGGCTAAGCGTTGATGCTCTGTCTTGACCTGCTGACATACCAAACATTTAGATACAAAGTCAGCTATGTCCCTCTTCATCCCATTCCACCAAAACCGGGGGTCACATGCTTTAGTACATTTTGGTGCTTTCGGGATGCATGACAAACTTGGAGCTTTGGGACTATGTCATGATGTCTCTCTTTAACTCACTGTCGTCTGGGACACATACCCTGTCCTGAAAACGGAGTAACCCATCGGCAGAAATTCAGAATTCTGAGCTCACTCCTTGTTCTGCATCATTCTTGCGGGCTACCAAAGCGGGGTCGACTGACTGAGCTTTTCTTATTCTCTGTATTAACTCGGGCTGGACGGTCAGACGACCCAAACATGCAACTCTCTTCAGGTCCTGAAGCCGAACCTGTTGTGTGGCCCCAATTTGCCTGCGTTCTGAAACCATTAATTGGGCTAAAATACCTGCATTTTTCTTGCTGAGAGCATCTGCCACCACGTTGCCCTTACTAGGATGATACAAGATATCATAATCATAGTCTTTAAGGAGTTCCATCCACCTTCTCTGACGCATGTTAAGATCCTTTTGAGTGAATATGTGATTCAGACTCTTATGATCGGTATAGATCTGGAAGGTCTCTCCGTATAAATAATGGCACTAGGTTTTCAAGGCGTGTATGATTGCGGCAAGTTCCAAGTCATGGGTGGGGTAATTCTTCTCATGATTCTTTAACTGTCTGGACCCATAGGCTATGACCTTCCCATGCTGCATCAGGACACAACCCAGGCCTAGATAGGAGGCATCACTATAAACTGTATATCCCCCCGATCCACTCGGTAAGGCCAGTACGGGTGCAATGGTCAGCCGCTCCTTTAATTCTGAAAAACTTCTTTCACAGTCCTTATTCCACTCAAACTTGGCATTTTTCTTTGTGAGCTGGGTTAGGGGAGCCGCT